TCTATTCTCTATGATTCAGTCATGGTACATTGCATGTTTTTTGGATTTATCTGTGTTTTCTAGGTTGTCCAACTGTTTGGAGTATAATTGTTTATAGTAGTCTCTCAGTTGTAATGCCTCCTGTTTCATTTATAATTTTCTTTTAGTCTTCCATTATTTTTTCTTGGTACATCTAGGTAAAGGTTTTTCTGTTTGCTTATATTTTTTAAAAACCCAGCTTTTAGTTTTACTGATTTTTTCTATTGTTTTCCTGCCTTTATTTCATTTATTTCTACTCTGATCTCTGTCATCTCCTTCCTTCTACTAACTTAAGCTTAGTTCTTTTTTTTCTGCTTCCTTGAGGTATAAAGTTAGGTTATTTGAGACCTTTATTTTTTCTTAATGTAAGCATTAATCACTATAAACTTCCCCTTTAGAATTATTTTTGCAGCATTCCATTTGTTTTGGTATTTTGTGTTTCCATTTTCACTGTCTCAAGATATTTTTTTATTTCTACTTGACCCATTGGTTTTTCAGTAACATGTTGTTTAATCTCCACATATTTGTGAATTTTCCAGTTTTCTTCTTGTAATTCTTTGTAGGTTCATACCTTTATTGGTCAGAAAATAAGCTTGATATGATTTCAGTCTTCTTAGATTTACTGACTTGTTTTGTGGTCTCACAGATGATCTATCCTGGAGAATGTTCCATATGCACTTGAGAAAAATGTGTTTTCTGCTACTGTTAGTTGGAATGTTTTACACGTCTGTTAAGTCCATCTGGTCTTATGTGTAGTATAAATCCATTGCTTCCTTATTGATTTTCTATTTTTTTCTTTGTAAAGATTTTATGCATTTATTTAACATAGAGAGGGACAGAGAGAGTGCAAGCAAGCACAAGCAGGGGGAGCAGCAGAGGGAGAGAGAGAAGGATCCCCACTGAGCAGGGAGCTGATGCAGGGCTCAATCCTAGGACTCCAGGATCATGACCTGAGGTCAGACACTTAACGGACTGAGCCACCCAGGTGTCTCCTCATTGATTTTCTATATGGAAGATCTATCCATTGTTGAAATTGGGGTACTGAAGTCCCCAACTATTAATGTATTACTGTCTATTTCTCCTTTTAGGTCTATTAATATTTGCTTTATGTATTTAGTATTCCTATGTTGGATGCAAAAACATCTAGAAATGTTATGTCTTCTTTTTGGATTGACGCCCATATCATTATATAATTTTGTCACTTATTATACTCTTTGTCTTAAAGTCCATTTTGTCCGATATATAAGAATGACTACCCCATCTTTCTTTTGATTTCTACTTGCATGGATTATCTTTTTTCAACCCTTCACTTCAGTCCATGTGTGTCCTTAAGGCTGGATTAAACCTCTGGCTTTATCTTTAATAATCATTTATGTGATGATTCACAAAATGTCCATTTCTACTTAAGATATATATTTTCCCCAGAGGAACCTTAAATTCAATATGCCCAAAAGTCCATTCAACTTTTCCTGGAAATTTGTTTTTTTCTGTTATATTTTCTATCTCAATGAATGGTAGCATCATTCTCCCGGTTTTTTACTATATCCTCCCTCATACCCTGTGTCTCCCTTCCCATTTAACCTCTCAACATTTAATTACTTATAATATTATTTCCATTTTTCTATGTAATTCTCTTGAATCCATCCTATGTTCTCATAGTCATCACCTTTGTTTAACAACATAACTAATCATTCCTAATTGGTTTCTTATTTCCAATATTTTCTCCTCCCCCCCAAATCTTCCACATCATAACCAGAATAGTATTTCTAAACAAAAACTACATTCCTGTTATTTTCTTATATGTACCATTTCAATGTCTATTTTAATCAACTTCAGCCATATCTTTTTACAGTATATATCAGTCACACTAAACAATTTGAGGTCCAGGATGATACCACAATTTTCTCATCTATACCTCCAATCCCTTTGCCTAAGGTGCCGTTTCCAAAACCCTCCTCGTTGCTAGCTTTTACTCAATTATCTCATGTCAGATTAATGCATTCACCCCTAGGGAAGCAGTCTGGAAATCTTCTAGACCTGAGATGTCTAATGTGATAGCCACTAGTCATAAATACCTACTGAGCGCTTAAAATATGGGTAGTTTGAATTGAGATATACCCTACACCAGAGATTGAAGACCCAGTTTTAAAAATCATAAAATTATTAACAATTTTATATTGGTTACATATGAGATATTTTGGGTGTATCGGGTTAAATAAAATATATCGCTGAAATCTATTTTATCTCTTTTTTAAAATTTTTAAATGTGGCTACAACAAAACTCAAAATAACATGTGGCTTACATTATATTTCAATTGGACACTACCTAGACTAGATGAGGATGAGACCCTTCTTTCAGTACCCTGGAGTTATTTCTTTAATAGTATTTATCTGTTAAAATTGCTAAACCATATCCTCTAGTGGATTGCAAGCACCTAACGCATAAAGGGCTGTCTTGATCAACATGGTAATTTCAGTGCTAAGGGTACTAAAATAAAAACAGTGAATGCCCATTATTCATACATCTCATATTTGTGAATTTTCTTATGCCTTCAGTTTACTTGTAATCAGTACTAGCAGTGCCTTTACAGTCATTCATGGACAAGCACAGAACAACAAAAGGGAGAAGTCATCCAATGTATATTTTCCTAGCTGAGGTCCAGCAAGGTGATGTTCTGCCCTCTTGTTGCAGCTGTCAAATTAAACAAGTGTTTCCTGTCAGTCTTTTCGTGCCACTTCTCACATTTTTGTGACTTTTGCTGGTGACATAGCTATTTAAAATGTCCCTGAAGCATTAGTGCTAAAATGCTGTCTAGTGTTTTGAGCACAAGAAGACTGTCATGTGCCTTGCAAAGAAAATCCACGTGTTGGATAAGCTCCTTTCAGTCACATTAGAGTGCTGTTGGCTGTGAATTAAATGTTAACAAATCAAATATATATTAAATAAGATGGTCTTAAACTGAAATGCACATTAAATGAGGTGCTATAAGGGATCCCTGGATGGCTCAGTGGTTTAGCACCTGCCTTTGGCCCAGGACATGGTCCTGGGGTCCTGGGATCCAGTCCCGCATTGGGATCCCTGCATGGAGCCTGCTTCTCCCTCTGCCTGTGTCTCTGCCTCTCTCTCTGTGTGTGTCTCTCGTGAATAAATAAATAAAATCTTTTAAAAATAAAAATAAAAATAAATGAGGTGCTATATAGGTCAGCTGACAAAAACGTGACCAGAGGCTCGCAGGAACCTAACTCGGCATTTCCCCTAGGAACGACGGTTCAACATTTGCTGATGCAGTATCCCAGCAACTTCCCTCCAACTGTATTTTTTGAATGAATGAAGCTGAATCATCTGATTCCAAATCTACATTTCACGTGAATGCAGTGATGGTGGTAGCTGAAGCAGTGAGTGTGGAGCCAAACCGCCTAGAGTTCAGTCTTAGCTGTCCGATGTCCTAGCTCTCTGATTTTAGGCAAATTCCTTTCCTCTGCTTTTTCCCCCCCCCTCACAATGAAAAATGTAGATAAAACAGTAGTTGTCAACGGTTGCCAGGGGCTGGGCATGGGGGGAGGAGGGACTGACCACGAAGAGGCAGGAGGAAACTTTTGGAATGAGGCAAATATTCTTTAACTTGATTAGAGAGTGGTTAGTTCCGCCACGGCCTACGTTTCTCAAAACTCACAGAACTTTTACTTCGTATAAACCATAACTTAAAGTCGAGGCTGAAAGAAAGCAACAGTTACCATTAAAGGAATAACGCCCGTAAGACAGGTCATGCCCTCCCCGCTGACATAAATGCCAGCCATCATTCCAACAACACTAGACGGGGAGAAGTCGGGCAGCGCGAGGGAAAGCAGAGTGGACTCAGGAACCGGGTTCTGACTCTTTCAAACATTAGCTCGGGGCTGAATTCGGTTTACGGGACCTGACTTGCTTATTATAAAGGTTAAATTCGACGTGTGTGAAATATTTGTGCAACAGGTAGAGCCCCACACATAGGGATGTGAAAAGGGGCACAGGCTCTTCGCCAGAGAGCAGCACAGACTTACAGGGCCACATAAACCAGCCCTCCGAGGCGGTGCGCTGTGAGGCGGGGCACAGAGGAGCACGTGTCTGCTGAGGCCCCTGGTCCCTAACCCTAGTGGGGTCCCTACTGGCTCCCGGTGGCTTATGAAGACAATCCAAGGGCTCTAACCCGGGAGGGGGTGGACGTACCCCGGACTCAAAATGCCAGCGCCAAGAGGAAGGAAGAGGCGAGCTTGTGAGGGCTGCATGGCCCGAGCCCGCGATGCACACCGTGCGGCAGGGCTGACACCCAACCACCTGCACGACGGCCCCAGTCGGAAGGACAGGCTGGGGCACCTCGTGCTGCTGTTTGGTCTCGCAGGGCCCACCCCCGAGGGTGCTGCTGACCCCGTCCGGGCGCCCGGGGTGGGGGGGAGGCAATTCCTGCCAGAACCTCATCACGGGTCACCCAGCCCCGCCGTCGGGCTGGGCCTCGAGGCAGCGCCCACCTGCGCCTGCGGTTGCAGCTCCACGTTCCCGCCACCACCACGCAGGGCACCCCCGTTGAAGCCGCGTGCCTCGCGCGACCTGAGGCCGTCACGTGACGACCGCCAGGCCCCTGAAGGGCCGGGGCCGCCACGCGCGCGCGCCGGGGCTCACCGTGGACTCCGCCGGGGACCGGGGCGCCCCGAACCCAAAAGTTTGCAGGCCCTGAGAAAGTGCTCACTTCACGCCGGAAGTGCACTAATCCGCAGCACGTGGGGTTGCCAGGGCGCGCTTCACGTGACGGGGCGGGGCCTCGGGACCCGCGTGGCCAATGGTGGCCCGGGGGGCGGGGCCTGTGACGCGCCGGGACCTATCCCGGAAGTGGGGCTGCGGCGGGGGCGGGCAAGGGCGGGGAGGCCGGGGTGTGGAAAGTGTGGCGGCCCCGCCCCGTCTCCTGGAACCGCCGGGGCCGCCGCCGCCGCCGCCGCAGCTGTGGGGGCCCGCGCCGGTGCGCAGGCGACAGGCTCGCTGTCCCCGGCTGAAAGGTGAGGACGTGGGCAAAGCCGGAGGGGCCGGGACCCCCGAGCGAGGCCGGGCCGGAGGAGGCTGAGCGAGGGAAGGAGGAGGGATGGATGGGGGAGCCGGGGCGCAGGCCCACGCGGGCCGGGCCGGGCGGGCCGGGGATGCCGGCAGGACGGAGGGCGGAGCGCGAGCCCGCGGGCCGAGGGCCAGGTGCGGCCGCCCGGGTCCCGTTATCCCCATCCTGCGCGGGGACGCGCGGCCTGGGCTGGGCCCCCCGGCGGGCATCGATCGGGGCGGCGGCGGCGGCGGCGGCGGGAAGGTCGCCGGCTGCCCCCGCGCTGGGACGGCGGGGGCCGGGTGGGCTGCCCCCGGGGCGTGTCGCCCCACCGCCGCCCCCACCCCCGCCGAGCCCGCCTGCCACTTCCCTCCTCCGGGTGCAAAAGTTTATAGAGGCCCGAGTTGGAAAGTGCCCACTATTCCCGGTGGGTGCTCTGTGAATGGGGGCGGGGGCGGCGGCGGGGCGGGGTGGGGACTAGACCCGCGATGTCTGGTCCGCAGCCGGTCCGAAAGGTGATGTCTCCCCGCTTCGCGTGCCCGTCGTTAAAAAAAAAAAAAAAAAAAAAAAAAAAGCGAGCACAAACTTTTTTTTTTTTTTTGCATAGTTTCCCATCCCCCCCCAGCCCCCGCCCCCGGCCCCCGGCCCCCGGCCCCCGAGGAAGCTACCGTCGCCCCAGCCCACCATGGCGGACGAGATCGACTTCACTACCGGAGATGCCGGGGCTTCCAGCACTTACCCTATGCAGTGCTCGGCCCTGCGCAAAAACGGCTTCGTGGTTCTCAAAGGACGACCGTGCAAAATAGTGGAGATGTCAACTTCCAAGACCGGAAAGCACGGCCACGCCAAGGTAGGTCAGTGCCCTTCCCCGGTCTCCCTTTGCCTTGCTGTTTTGATCACTTTGCATTCCAGTAGGGAACGTGAGATTTCCATATTTATAACTCGGCAATAATGACTTTTTTTTTTTTTTTTTTTCTTGACCACGATTTCTGAGTGACCAGCCATGGCTTTTGAATGCTGAAAGGTAGCATTTCCTTGTTTGGGCCCTTAATAATGTTTCATTAACCGGTAATGGAAACTTTTTTTCTGAATCCAAGTGATTTGGAATACCTGTTCTGTTTATGGACGAGAAAACCTGTTCTAACATAGCTTCATCTCTTTTACACACTCTTAAAACTGAATTCCTAGACTAGGAATTGGGTCTTGATATGTCATGAAGCTGTTTCGTTGTTCGCTGCTTCTCAATTCTCTGACCCCTGCTTTTTTTTTTTTTTTTAAGAAAATGAAATTAGATGACCTTGGAAGGAGAAAGAATCTGTCATAATCAGCTTTGGTATTGTGCTCTTGTGTATGTAATGAGTGATATACTTGGCAAAGATTAAACAGGTTTCCTGTTCTCCCTCCTCTGTTAGGTTCACCTTGTCGGAATTGATATTTTCACCGGCAAAAAATATGAAGATATTTGCCCTTCTACTCACAACATGGATGTTCCAAATATTAAGAGAAACGATTATCAAGTGAGTACTAGCTTCCTTTAAAATGCTGTTTTGTCTCTTAAAGTTGTAAATGCATTCTACTATCAACAGGAATTCAACAAAACCTGGTAGTAGTTTTGTAGGTTTTTCTAACCAGGTACTAAGCACCACCACCTATCTTAGAAATTGAAAATAGTGGTATTTAACATTTGTATCTTATCTAGAATTATAGCTGATTTGCTTTTTTTTTTTTTTTGACATTTTTGCATTCTTAAAAAGTTGAACATGTCTTATTATTTCTCAGACCAAGGGACTGCTTATTGTGACTAAGTTCAGTGTTTAGTGAAACTACTACGCTCTTCGTTGTAAAATATTTCCAATTCAGATAACTCCCTCCCGGATATGTTATTTCTTTTCACTTGTCAAGCCAAAGACTTTTAAGAAATCATTGGAATTCATGTTCCACCAATCAAGTTTGTATATTAATGAATGTGAGTCAGAATTTGATATTCTTAAATAGGGAAGTGAGTTGAAAGTCTTTAATATAAGGGATAAAGTATACCACCATGGCATATGGTAAAGAAAATACGAAACTATGTAATTGTTTTATTTACATTCAGTGACCATGCTGTGACCTTTTGTTAAATTATAGGTTTAGACTTCCAACTTGTAGTTCCAATTATACATTTGGATAAGTCATGTTTAATGATAGCATCTTGTTGTTTCGGAGTATTGGTGGTAACCAAACCATTGACCTCATAGGATGTGGGACCTCAGGTTAATTATAACTAAAGTCTTTATTGTAAGTCTTCAATCTCATTGTCAAGCATACCGTATATAAAACTCTTTTTTGTTCATTTTATGAAGTCAGAAATGCAAGTGTGACACTTAGATTTTCTTCATTCATTTTAAACTGATTTCTTGCTGTAACTTTTATTGTATTATATACATGTTACCATCAACTGCAGTTAACATATGGTTTCCTTTTACTTTGTCCACATGTAAAAATATTTTTATGTAGGTTTTTTTTTTTTAAGATTTTATTTACTCATGAGAGACACGCACAAGAGAGGCAGAGACACAGGCAGAGGGAGAAGCAGGCTCCACGCAGGGAGCCTGATATGGGACTCAATCCCCGGACCTGGGATCATGCCCTGAGCTGAAGGCAGATGCTCAACTGCTGAGCCACCCAGCCATCCCTATTTTTACATAGTTTTATTCTACTAAGCAGTTGTATATTTTCACTTAACCACTTGTAAATGTTTTCTAGGTTGCTTTGGAGTCTTTCTAGAAATTTGCATTGTCTTATTATAGTAATAGCATATTGAGTTTTTTTAATCAGACAATTTGGGTTTAGATCTGCTCCTGCCACTTTCTAGCTGGGTGACCTTGGACAAATTATACAATCTCTCTGAGCCTCAATCTTCCATCTACAAAGGAAGGATAATGGGAGGATTAAAGAGAAAATGTATCCCATAATTACCTCATGGGTAGATATGTACCAAAAAGTAATTCTTTTCTGCTCCCCCCTCTTTTCCTTCATAAAAATTCCATCTAACCATTCCATTGTACTTGGAACACCTAATTTAGACATGGCTTATAGTGGGTGCTCAATAAACATTTGTTAAATGCATGTGGGATTATTCAGTGAAGTAAGGATAGTGTAGCTAAGGCTAGGTATAGACTTTTCTTTTACCAAAAAAATGGATTTCTGTTTTTATCCTTAACATGTGAATGCTTTGAATGTTCAATATTTATTATATATATATTAATATGCATTCAATACAGAATGCTTTTGCCTTTGGGCATTTCAAAAAGATAGTATCAGTAAGTCATACGATTACTACTATGATCAAATTAGCCATTGTTTGGAGTTCAAGATTTAACAAAAAGGAAAAATTTGGTTTGGGTTTTATTTGGGGATACAGCAGGGTCCAGACTAGGGTGAGGGGAACAAGGTAAGTGAGCACAGACCACTAACAGTGTCAAGCCAGTGGAGCCTTAGGCAAAAGGAAAAAAATCAGTAATTCAAATTTTGTTTTTATTTAAAATTTTGCTGTTTTGTTCATCATGAAATTTTTGCATTAATTCTATCTTTAAAATATTTGGTCACTGATGAGTTTTTTTTTTTTTTTTTTTTTTTTTTTTTTTTGGTGCCACCTTAAATTTTGCACTCAAGAGCCTCGCTTGCCTCATCCTATCTCAGCCTTTGCTATGTAGTCTACACTGTATTATGGATAAGAGAATGACTCAAGTCAAACAGGCTAGTTCTGAATCCTTACTTTAATACTAATTATTTGACCTTGGTTGGCAAGTTATTTACCCTCTCACCTTTTTTTCTTTGTTTATAAAATGAGGGTAAGAATAATAAACTCCTCATGGGATCATTGTGAGGTTAATGCTTAGAACAGTGCCTGGCACAGTAAATGCTCAGTGATCACATCGCTTCATTATCAAGTCACCATATAATACTTATTTCTGTTCATTTAAAAAAATTAACTCTGTGAGCCTTTTCAGTTATATTTGTTGTGCTGTGGTGGTCTTCATGCACCTATCCACACGAAATAATGCAAGGTATGAGCCTGGAGTTGGGAGAAAAAAGTTTCTATCAAAGACAATATTGGATAATTGTCAAATTTGAGTATGGACTATACACTAAATATTTTAACAGTAATGCATTTTTTAATTTTGAAAAATAAGCTCATTATATAAGAGTTTGTCTTAGGAAAACAGACTGAAGTATTTATTGCTAAAGAGACATGATGTTTGAAGCATACTCTCAAATGGTTCGGTAAAAAGAAAAGAATAAGAATGTATGTTGTATGCATTTTATGCGTTCCCATACACAGAAAAAATGCACATGTGGTTAAATATTAACAATGGGTGAGTCTGGGGAAAAGATATGGGATTTTGATGTATTATTTTTGTAACTTTTCTATGTGTCTGAAAATTTTTAAATAATTTGTGTAAGAAGATCAAATAATTTCCATTATCTAATTTTATTTTTTATAGTGTAGTTTTGTTTTTGAAAATTTAATTTAAAAAAAATAAAAAAAGAAAATTTAATTTTTATTTCACATAGCAATTTATTTTAATAAGATGTTTGATTTTTAAAATATGTTTTACTAGGTTTTTTATAATGTCTATACATTTTTTGTTTGAAATGCTCTTTATTTCATCCCACAGTTTAACTTATGAATTCTTAACTCTTTAAAAATAAAATACCACCATTATATAAAGAAATACCAAAGTATCAGTATTATTATTATTATGCTTTTATGTTTCAGTCACTAATGGCAGTGGGAACTTTAAATTCTTTCTTTAAATTGTTAAAAGAGCCAAAATTAGAAAGACCTACCTTATAAGCCTGTCACTAATTGTTTAAAATTATACAATAAATGGTGTTGGGAATACTGGGCAGCCACATGCAAAAGAATGAAACCAGACTATCTTATACAATATACAAAAATTAACTCAAAATGAGTTAAATACTTGAAAGGAAGACCTGAAATCACAAAACTAGAAGAAAATATTGGGGGTAAGCTTCTTGACATTGGTCTTCGCATTAAATTTTTGGATGTGACACCAAAAACAAAGGCAAAGCAAAAATAAGTGGGACTGTATGAAACTAAAAAGCTTCTATACAGAAAAATAAACCATCAAGATGAAAAGACAATACCGAATGGAAGAAAATATTTGCAAAATACATATTCAATAAGGGGTTAATATCCAAAATATATAAGGAACTCAACAGCAAAAAACCCCAAGCAACTTGATTAAAAAATGGGCAGAGGATCTAAATAGACATTTTTCCAAAGAGATACAGGTGGCCAACAGGTACAGGAGAAGATGTTCAACATCACTAATTACCAGGGAACTTAAAATCAAAACCATAATGAGCTATCACTTCGTATCTGTTAGAATAGCTATTATCCAAAAGACAAAAAGTAACAAGTGTTGGAGTAGATCTGGAGAAAAAGGAACCTTCATGCAGTGTTACCAGGGATGTAAATTGGTACAGCCACCATGGAAAACAGTTTGGAGGTTCCCCAAAAAAAGTAGAACTACCATATGATCCAAGTATACCACTTCAGGGTATTTATATGAACAAAACTAACTTCCAAAGATTTATGCACTCAGATGTTCATTGCAGCATTATTTATAATAGCCAAGATATGAAACAACTTAAATGTCCGTTAATGGATAAATGGGTAAAGAAGATGGGGTATATATACACAGTGGACTACTACTCAGCCATAAAAAAGGAAATGTTGACATTTTCAATAACCTGGATGGAACTTGAAGGTATTATGCTAAGTGAAATAAGTCAAAGAGAGAAAGATAAATACTATATTATTTCACTTACATGTGAAATGTAAAAAACAAATAAAAACAAAACAAAACTTATAGAGCAGATTAGTGGTCAGTTATTAAGAGGGGGTGGGGATGAGAGAAATGGGTAAAGGGAGTCAATTGTATGGTGACATATGATAACTAGACTTACTGTGGTTGTTGCTTTGTAGTGTCTACAGTGATTGGTGTGATTAAAAAAACAACAACATTATACTTCTGCCTCAACCTCTTTGTTCCCCTCTCCTCTACCAACCACCTTACAAATGTTTGAGTGATGTAAAGATGAATTAAAAGTATTTGTGGTTGTTTTGGAGGATTTTTTTGTTTTGTTTTGAGATTTTAGACATGTGCAAAAGCTGAAATCTCTTGGTGGGGTGTCTGAGGAAAGCCATAGCCAGACTTGGTAGTACCACAGAAGATAGCTTTGAAATCTACCTCTGCAGTATGCTTGTGTTATATCATGGTAACTAAAGGGAGGTAAGGATCATATCTTTGGCCCCTTTTGTGTTTGTCAATGTTAGCATCTTGTATTCTGAACAACTGCCTTTTATAAAATCTGTTAGAAGTATGAGCATACTGATAATGTACATGCTTTTAGAATAAGAGTACAGCCTGTTTCCTCATTCCTATAAATTTAGTGATGTCAAAACTGCCTTTTTGAAGGTTAGACTGAGTTTGTCTCATTAATGTCATCAACAAGCTAGTGTTTCTAGCTTCTGATGTTGTTGGTAGCAAACTGAAGACCCAAAATTTTCCATTGACGTTTGTTCATAATCACATTGTAAATTAGAAGTTTACAATTAAAGAACACGTTGTAATCATGGAAAACTAAAATTAACTATATGCCCATGGGAAAACAGTTTAAATAAGTTACAATCTACCTATGCAGTTGTGAAGTGGTTAAAGAGACTAAGGTAGGTCCATAGTTTCCAATTTGGAAAGATTTCTGAGACATATTGTTAAGTGAAAACAATTTGTTGAAAAATACCTGTAATATCCCTTTTTTTTTCTTGCCTCAAAAAGTGACATTTATTCAAAGAAAAAAAATGACAAGATGTCCATCCCATGACTCTCTTCCTTCCCCACTCCTGCTCCTCTTTAGCCCCCTATGGACTGAATCCTAGGTAGGGCTAGAGAGCACGGCAGCCCCTCAGATGAGGTCAGCAACATTGAGGAGTGTCTATCTCCTCAATGGAGGTGTTGAAGGTGTCAATGTCTCGAAGAGCCCTCCTGTCTTCTGTCACCATGTTAATGGCCACACTCTTACAGCCAGATCATCCATCACTACCGGTTTCTAAGGATATAGTTTTCCCTGTTGGTGGGAAGGTCATAGCTGGTGACTAAAGAAACCTGCTGCCCATCCATGGTTCTGGCCTAGATCAAAGGAGGGGACAACTTCGGCATGTGACGGAGAAGGGAGCACAGTCCAGAAGGGATTGAAGTATATGTGTAGGTAGCCAAAGGAAGGCAAAGGAAACAAACATCCCCTCTCCTCCAACAACCTACAGCATTCCAGATTTTATTCCAAGTTGCTACTTTTCTGAAGATGGGCATAAGCAGGCTCCTTGAAAAGGGAATCGTTTTGGATTCCCGTTTATTTTCTCGAAAGCAACTATTTGTATTGTTTACATAAATATAAATTCTTTAGGACATACTATATTTATATGTATATATATATGGTTATATATATATATGATTATATATATATATTTGGGGGAAGGTGGTGTGCAGGAAAGAGTGAACTTACACTTTTAGTCTGTACATCTTTTATGCTTTTATATGTTTAGCATTTTTAAGCACTAGAATATATTAGTGTATTACTGTACCTGTACAATTAATGTGGATTGCAACCTAACTATATAAACATTACAAATAGCCAATATAATCTAATCAGTGCAAATGATACAATTTCTTTTAATAGCTCATATGCATTCAAGATGGTTACCTTTCCCTGCTGACAGAAACTGGTGAAGTTCGTGAGGATCTTAAGCTGCCAGAAGGTGAACTAGGTAAAGAAATAGAAGGAAAATACAATGCAGGTGAAGATGTACAGGTAAAGACCTATGGGGCAATTGCTCTTTATAAAAACTTTGGCCTAAACTAATTAGCAAAAAAATGCCAACTATGAAATGTAGTTTTAAATACTGCTGAGATTTAGAATGGTCTCTGTAAGACAGTTTTCCCGTGATACTCTTAGAGACCCATTACCAAAGAAAGTATCAAAGTTCACTTTTTGATAAGTAGATACTGCCAAACCCAAATCTGTTTTGAGGATCAGCATCTGAATTATTAAGGCTGAGAAAGGTTTTTATGGGAATACTAAAGCGTGAAAGTGATTTGCTCTGTCTTTTTGTTATAACTCTCAGAAGTAAAACATCTAGCAAGTATTGAGGTATTTGTAGCTCTTTTCTCCCTATCCTTGGAAGTTCTCTTAAAAACCACAGTTGAGAAATTTTGCTCTGGAAAACCATAAAGAAAGCAGATTATCTAGTCTTGGAATTCTTCTTTCCAAGGTCAACGTGTATAAAATTTCCACAAATACGAAGCCTGTAACAAATTAAATATATCTTATTCATGTATTGCCTTCTGAATAACTTTTTGCCTACATTTTGCCTTTTAGGTATCTGTTATGTGTGCAATGAGTGAAGAATATGCTGTAGCCATAAAGCCCTGCAAATAAATGGGAACATCAGGCACGAGCAAAATGTTTAGGTCTGGATCAACCACAGATCTAAAGTTTGGCTCTAAATTGTCACCAAAGCTATGGCCTTCATAAGCAACCTCATTTCTTTTTTAATTGTTTTGAAATTGTGCTGAGTTAGTTTTGCAGGCAGTTGTTAATTTAAAATAATCAAGATGTGTAATTCTCTTTTTTTAATTTTGTAGGTGTCTTTCCTATAACTTTCCTGTGGTTTTCAGTGAGTCCAAGAAACTGATAAGATGGCTTCAGCAGATATGATTTGTCTGAGCAAATCATTCCTGAATTTTAGTTGATAAGTAAACCAGGGTTTTAAATCAGACAATGTAGCATCTAGTGGTATTGAAGTACCACATTTAAGTTGAATTGTTCTACATTAATTTCACACTTATTATAGAATGAATAGATTATGGATTGGGATTGTCACAGTTTCAGCCTGTGTGTGGCAAGCACAAATCCTTAAATAGATATCAAAAAGTTATCAAAAAATGTCAGTTATCCTAGTAGGCATGTGCAGCCACCTGTATTACCTCAGTCATACTTTTCTTTGCCAAAATTGTTGGAGAACTAAATGTTACCTTCTGTGTAGTGATTTTGGTACCTGCTTGTGGTTGACAGGCCTTGAACTGTTGGGTGACTATAATATTAGCAAGTCAGATGGTAGCACAGGGAGTTGGTTAGAACTATAGGTCTTTACTGGAGGCCTGTGTATTGGGCATAAAAATAGGAAGTTTCTAGTTATGTTTTTGCTTTTTCCATTTGTTCTCTGTATTTAAAGGAGGGACCTGCTTTATAGGATACTGTGTAGTGCTTTTTATCAATTATGTTGAATAAATTGCTGTTATTTATAATAGTCACTCCTTTCCAACCATTTTTAAGGAGTTTTTTTGTTTGTTTGTTTTTTTACATTAAAATATTTAGTTGTCAGACAAAAAACTGGAAATTCTTACTTTAAATTGTTTTGACACATTTGTTAAATTTATGTACACTTTTTCTAAAGTGAAATGAAAGTGAATCACGGAAGATGAGTTACTTTATGTGATTATTATTTTACTTATTTTAAGAAGTACATCTATTTTTTCCTGATTGTTATGTACTTAAGTTACTGGTACGAAACAGAACTAAGAAAGAATTCTAGAAACGGAAGTCTTTTAAAAAGTGTTAGGTGACTCAGCTACCTTTCTCTTTAGTCTTTTGGATCATGTATATCTTATTTCCAGGGTTCTAGACATTGTTACAGGGTTTGTGAGGACCTTTGACTCAGTAACAATCATTATATTGAAATGAAACTCATAAAAAAAAATCACTACTTCAGTAATACCTTCATTCTCTAAAACAGTATGAGACCTTTCCTATCATTCCTTGAACTCTGAAAGGCCTTTGTTCCTATCATCTAGAGGAAAACATATATGATGCTGTAACTGATCTAATCAGTAACTGAATATAGGCATCAGAAATAGACGATCCTAAAGCTTTTAGTTACTTAATTTGTGCACATTTTTAAATCTTGTATTGATCTCAGCAGATCCATGTGGAGAAGAAATGATATTTTAAGAGAAATGTAAGGAGAGTTCTAAAGCACAAGAAATATTGAGGTTGTAGTTAATCAGTTTAGTGTAACATTTTACCTTTTGCTCATCTAAAGCACAATTAGAAATTAGGCTAAATTCTTTCCAGTGTTCCGTTTAAGTATCTACTACATACTGCTCTAGTTTTTTAGTAATCTATACTGTGTGTTTTACTTGTTGCTGGTTGGCATTGTTACACACAGGAATCCCAGGAAGTTCTCAATCTATGCTGCTTGCTGGTCACTCATATGACCCCAGTTAACCATATTAGTGTTCTGGTTTACTATTAATTCTGGATTAGCATGCCCTCATTGTTCCTAACTTGTCAAACTTCACATAAATACATTTTTCAGTTGTGAGGTAAGCATATGTAAATTAAAATAATGCATCTCTATCTTCATACCTTGAATGGCAAAAGCTGTTTATGCATAAATATTTTAAGTACTATAATGAAGTGTAAATACTCCTCTGATATATAAGTATAGATTTTAAAGATATGGGACTGTTTATTTTCACATAAGTCAGTACATGTTTCTCTAGAACAAAATATTTCATTTAGTAAAGCTTTATAAATTATATTAAAAGGAAGCAGGTAAACATTTTTTTAACATAGAACAGAAGTGACTTCATTCTTTTTTGACATCAGAAATATTAGACGTTGACTCCTAGTATTTGTTGTACTTTTTTGTAGCAAATGTCAAATATCACAGGTTACCATGTAGAGAGTGTAGACTGTCATGTTGATAGATTATACAATGATACACTGTTTTTGTCTGCAGGCATTTCACCAATTTATATACAATATTAACAAGTGGAATATTTGTTTCTAGAGCAACATATTTTCTTTCTACTGTGAAGACTTTGTTATATACCTTATTTGCTACTACAAAGTTGTATACCCTCTGAAATTGATCAAATCATTGCTACTTTGACTCAGCATTTGCATCTTAAACATAATTATGATGTTTCTTTCATTCTCCCCTCCAAGGGCTGTCTGTCACTTGAAATTGTTGCTAACCAAGCTCTTGAATCCGTTACCATTTATGGTACAAAATTCTGTACCAATGCTTTGTAACAATTACCAAAACTCTCCTGCAGCCAGAGCATGGTACCTTTAATAAGAGATGCTGTAATAAAATGTCTAGGCTATAAAATTTGGGGACACAATTTTTCAGTATAGCACAATGTGAGTGTGTGCGTATGCACACATAGCTTTGTATGTTTGTTCTTTTTACAAAGTCCTTCCAACTCTCTAAAGTACTGTAGTCTGGTAGTGCCTCAAATGTTGGTAACTTTTTTTTTTTAATTTACAACTTTTCCAGAATTTGTTTTTGTAACTTTAAAGTTTCTCAATTAGATTATTTCTAGTTGAGCTGTAATTTGAATGCATTGTTCTCAGGGCTGTTTGTGCTAAGAGCTGAAGTTGCAGTATTTTAAAGCTAACTGCCTGAAAGTATATTGCAAAAATTTCCCAAATTGTAGTACAATGATACATGCAAATAAAAAATCCTTACCATCCACATACTTAACCCATATGCTAAGCATTAAAGGAAAAAAAAAAAAGGGGAACATTGATAACATCTATACTGGAATCTTGCCATATTTTTTTCATTTTAGAATAGAATTTGTTAATCTTATCTTAAACCCAAACCTTAATGATGTATCTGAAAGCATTCCTTTGGCATGGACCCCAAAGATAGTTTTTAGAGCCAAAGATGTAGTGGTTCTCGAACATATTTAGGGATAACAGATCAAAAATTCGTAATGCTCTTTTGGGTACACGAAAATGTTTACATACAGAATTCTATAATATGAACTGGAAACAAATTTACTATGAGAAAATGTGGCTCTTAAGCAGTATAAGAGCAAACTATAAGCAAATTTCCATAAACCGTACATTATATTGAACTGATCAACAGTTTAAATTTTTCTAACTTTACTTAGGCATAATATTTTATAGTTTTTAAGCCTTTTTTCTCCTAGCATTCAGACAAGTAACAGACAACAAAGGCTTATGAAAAATTTATTGTGGAAAAATGTTAAAATTGAGAAAATTCAATCTATTAACTTTAATCCATTAAAATTTTCCCCCTGAATTGGATATATGGCTTCATTATTTGATTTTAGAAGGGAACATTTGGATTTAGCTTATGGAACACAGATGTTCTGTGAGAACATGACTTGAAGTCACTATATAATTTAATGTTTCTCCATTAAGTATACATCTGGACATCAACTTAACTACCAAGTGAGTTCAAGTGCCTGAACTGAAAAGTGCTGTCTACATCTAATTAGCATGTTTTCCTTATGTGAAAGATGCATCTTTTAGCAATGCATATCAGGCTTTCACCTACTAGAAACATACTTTTTGCCAACCTTTTACCAACCACAACTATTCCTCTCGCCTTAGAATTGAGTGAAACCTATTTTACAATTGAGGGAGAGGTTCTTTTATTTATATGAAGCCCCTAAAACCATTCCTTGGTATTGGTAGATTTAGGATTAACTTAGTTTGAGATTATATTTTTTAAAAACTCTGGACACTAAACTATATTCAGTGTTGACTGTACAGCTTGTCATAAGTCATAATTGTGATATTTCTTGAGAGGAATTCTTTACACCTACTAAAAATAAGCACTCTTGTGTTTGTTACAAAATATAATGCAAATTACTAGTTCCATGCTAGTGTAATGAAAATTACTAGTCCCATATGATTATATCCCTGTAATCTCTTCTCCAAAAAGGAAATAGTTGAAATGGCATTGTCTAATCTAGTGGCACTTTATTAGTAACACATTTTGTTTCTTTTAGGTATTAGGAGAATTCTTGCTTTTATCTACAGAGACTCATGTTTTAGCTAAAACTTTAAAATCGTAAGATCTGTAGTATGGATATTATAATTGTGCATTTTACATTTCAAAAATGGGTAAAATTCAAATGTTGTCTTTGGCTACACTAAATTACTGAACTCCTTTACATTATAGATGATGAACATCAATTATAACTTTTTGTTATGTTACAATATATTTGTCTGGTAACTTCATCAGTTATATTAAATAAAAATAAAGTTAACTTAACAACTTGCCTTATTCTTGTACACATACATTCCTAAAACCATCTTCATACTAGAAAACAGTATGGATTAATGTGTTTAGCACTATTAAAAGAAAATCTAACTTGTTTTTACCATGTTTTTATAGCTCAATCCTTACTAGAGAGCACCCCAGCTCTGCTGTGGCTGTGAATGTTAATTTTAAAATTTTAAAATTTTAGTTCTAGATATGGGCACAGTTTTGTTTTAATTTTTAAGTTAATAGTTTAAAATATGTAAAATTGTCCCATGGTTCAAAATTCTATAGTTACAACAGTAAAAACATATTCCCATCTTCATCCTTTTCCTCCCATTCTTCCAGAGAATGCAAGAGCAGTTAAGTGTCCCTCCCTTCCCCCTGACCTCCCAGACTCTGAAACATTGCTTCTCTGCCAGCATTGCTGTTCTCTTTCCACAGTGATGTGAATGGTGTGATGAGTCCCTGAAGCAAACTTCTCATCCTTTTTCCAATTCTATGTGTAATCAACAGTGTCTGGATAGTTTCATCCCTAGACGGCTCAACTGTTTCTTCCTTTTACACACTGTACCATTCTAGAATATCTCCCACTCCAACATGTGAACCATGCCAAAAGACTACCAGAACAGTTATAACCTCATATCCATGGCTAGGATTATTGATATCCATACCCTTCCAAATCCAGTGAGATAATTGTGCAATAAACAAAGTACCAGATTAGTCTTCCAGTTCTTAGTCCCACTCTTCTTCTTTTTTTTTTTTTTTGCCATTTGTGAATACCAGTAGCTTAGTCTCCCAGAGGGAGGCCTGGGAGGAAAAGAATAAGAGTGAAAAGGCTGATTATTTGTTAGGTGTCAGCATGTCTTAATCTCCCCAACTCCATCTCTAACCTTATAATTAAGTATTCTTTCCAAATAGGAGGTATCCTGTAGAATTGCCTCATTTAGAACTCATACTGTCTATCTAAAGTGTGTGCTCCACTGGAAATTTAAAACATCTATAAGCATACCTCAGAGATATTGCAGGTTTGGTTCCAGAACATTGGAATAAAGCGAATATCAAAACAAAGGGAGTCAAATGAAATTTTCGGTTTCCTAGTACATACAAAAGTTACTTTTACATTATGCTGTAGTCTGTTAAGTGTGCAATTGCATTATATCTAAAAAGGCAATTTACATACGTGAATTAAAAAATATCGCTAAAAAATGCTAACCATCATCTGAGCTTTCAGCAGG